AGTACCCAGGTCTATTTGGGTATAGAGCATCAACATGATAATATTTCCCTGAGTACAAAAATGATGGTTAAGTGAGATGCATGTAAAAAAAGTTGAGCGACATACTTGTGTGCAAATTGCAAATTATTGTTATATGTACATACCTATATATGGGTGTGGGATTTTTTCATGATCATATCTAATAAGTGCACAAAAGAACACACTTGTGTCATGCATAGAACCGGGCTACCCAATAGATATGTGAACTGCATTCAAAATCAACAATAGCAAGCACATTTTGCATCGCTTTGCCACTTCGACCAATGTATCTAATAAGGTCATCCGGAGGCGGGGTCGCTAAGATATGAGTACCATCTAGTGCTCCAATGCAATCTTTAAAATGAGGCATCATCCTACTACCATTACTGATCCTAGAATGCATTGTAGAGAAGTTAGGACAATGGGCCTTATGTAGTCCTCACACATGGAGACCAAATAAATCAAGACATCATCAAATTTTTGACTAATTGTATCTGTAGAATCCTCAAGTATAGCATGCAAAGCACTTGTGGACATACCATGCCCACAAACTAGAAGAAAGATAGCCAATGATTCCATTGAATTCATGTGAACAGATGACTCAAGACCATATGTACTCACTAACAAGTTATGTAGCTTGTCAAACAATGATGTGTTCATTCTGAACATTTTATGGCTTTCACCTGGGGTGTTTAGCTCCTCCAAAGTCCAACCAAAAACAGATTGTGCTGGAGTTCTCACTTCATTTTTTGTCAAGGTATGTCATGTAGTACTGGTTGCAACAAGGGCACTAGCAACCAAATTATTTTGATTGGACCGTAGCACTTCCATAGTATTTGAAACCCACTCATAATCATCAGAATCTCTATCATCCATGTTAGTACTGAAATCTGATCTGCACATAAGAACAACCATGATAAAACAACATAAATTGGTCCAAATAGAAATTACTAAACATTACAATTGTACCAAACTATTAGAACAATATAAATTGGTCCAAATAGGAATTACTAAACATTACAATAATCAAAGAAAGCAACATAAATTTGGATAGGTAGCAATGCCAAATGAAATGTATTGCACTACTTAGGCACATCATTTCTAGTCAACCACTCATGCTTTCTCCTCAACTAATCAAGCCTATCCTCATGAGTCCTCAAAGTCATAAGCATCTCTCTCTTGGCCCTCTTGGTAAAAAGAACATTTGCAATGAAGTGCTCATTTGTTCTTGGAGCAGAATCACACTCTTCAACCAATGCCATTACATCATGTATGGAACACCTAGATTTGTCATCCCTCCTTGCAATAGATTCACAAAGATACGGTTGTCCTCTCATTCATCTGCACTATTTCCCCATCTGTTCTTGTAACCAACACCTAGTATTTGCCTTTGGTTTCTTTCCTTTTCTGTTAAAAGCCCCTCCACCTCTCTTCTCCTCACACGTACTAGTAGGTGTCACTTGTTCTGGCTCACTATCATCATCATTGTTGGCTTCATCTTCTTCATCAATATTAATTATTTTGAGAATTATCACATGACAGACTTGTTTGGGAAGGTGCTACACCACTAGAAGCACGCCAGTGGGCATCACCGGTGTTACGAAGGTCCTCAAACATAACTTCCATCTTCTCCCTTCTCCTCATTTTGTAGCCCTCTTTGCCTGAACCTAGAACTCCCCTTAATTTCCTGAAACGCAACATTATTGTGTTAGGTTATGCTAATCAAATTAGAGACAAATTTGTAATAAAAAAGTTTCTGAAATGCACTCACTTTTATCATCTTCTTCCACCAAGTCTTTGACATATCAATGTTCATTTTTTTCCTTTTGTCACACACAATACCAACTTGATGGTTTGTGGTTTCTTCCAAATACTATAATCACTTTTCAACCTATTCAGCGTTCGTTCGTTTAGGATCATTCTTGCCGGGAACAATTCCTGGTGATGGCTGTCCTATACAAATTATATAAGCATTCCTGGCCGGAACGGTTCCAGGACGTGATTCCCTGAGAACCGAACAGGCCCTCACTTGTTCTTGAATTGCATTCTAGTGTACTTACATCCAGTCCTTTCTTTGAACCTCTGTATGACGTTGTTGTACGTACCCAGCCTTATTCAAGTGAGTGTTTCCTTGGTTTTCTTTTTCAACTTCGTTAGCAAAAATCCCACATACTATCCTAGTATTTCCATAACACCAATTGACTCGCTGTTGCGAACAAAAATGTAAAATGATGACACCATGTAACACAGATGTAAACAAACAACATACTTTTTACATCTTGCATGCTACTGTATTCAAACTATTGATGGAAGCATCAATTCTAGTTTGTTTAGTTCACACGCGTCGTAGTTGTTGGCATGTAAAATTGAGGAAACTTCAGTTACCTTGGATCGGTGAGATCGCGATAGTGGTAGATACAGGGCAGCAGGAGCAACAGGCGACTTGTGTGAGAGTCCACCTCAGGCACAAATATAGGAGCATAAGAGCCCCCTATTTCCGTGCGACCATCTCCAATTTCTTCAGCCACCTTCCTCCAATCAGGCCTGAACATCATGGCCGTTGAAGCACACCATTCTGGCAACCCCATCCGCCACCACCAGGCGCCGTACCGCCGGGGGGTTGTTGGATTGGTCAACGCCGTCTGGAGTTTTGCCCGTGCCAGCGACCATGCCGGGCACACGGAAGCCACTCGGGGGCACGCTTGGGGATGCGTCGGGCCATTCGCCACTGCCAAGGGGCGCACCAAGGGCCACGCTGGGCTAGCCGCTGCCAAGAAGCCCACCCGGGGAGCGCCTCCCCTCGCTCCGTGCGAGAAAAGCAAAGAAGGATATCCCACCGCCGGTGAACTGATGATTGGATCCTCTTCTAGGCCCTCCGATCTATCTGCTTCACTATCGGCGGCACGTCAAGGCGACGGGGCATCCATGGCGGCGGCGCATGAGGAGCGTCGGGTGCAAAGAAATGTGAATGGGAGAAAGAGAAACATAGAAGGAAAGAGGAAAGAGAGCGTGGGAGACTCAGTGGCAGAGTACCATTTTTTTTTTGTCAATTAGAAGAGAACTGCGGGCCTGAGGGAGAGAGCTAGTTGATGCTGCTACTCACTCTATTCCCACATGTGAGAGCAAATTTTAAGAGAACGAAGCTGTGGACAGAGTCTTAATACCTTCATAAAAAACATATCAGACTTTTTTTTGGGTAGGGGGTCCATCGAACATGTCATTTATACGTACTAGATTGTATGAAAGCATTTTGAAACGCGATAGAGCGCCGCCTACAGTTTCGTTGCATTTTGTCTGTAATGCATTTTTTTTAGAGCGGCTACGGTGATAATTTATGAGCTAGCTTAAAGTATGTTGTTTCGTTTTTTTAATAGAAGAGAGAGAAAACCAGCACTTGATAAGCTTGTCTCATACACATATTTTAAGATTACACGAGGATGTTATGTGAGGCTTCATGTTATAAGCTATGTGCTAGAAGTTATGATTAGAGAAGTTATCTTAAAGCTAGTAACTATCTCATACTATTGAGAGTGCCTTATAATATCCAATATCCTAACAAAATATGGCTACACTTAGGTTGGTGGGCGCGAATGCGTTTGCCACACGCCATTTGATCCAAAAGAAGCCAATATCCTAACAAGAGAAATTAAAATTAGTTATTATTAGTAGTTTAGTACTGTGCAGCAAATCTATAGTAGCCTATCTTGTCGGCAGACAAATCATTCCAATTATTCTAAAACAAAAAATGGCATGATTCCATCTCACATGCATGATACTGATTCTCCTCTTTGTGAATAAAGTAAGACAAGAAGTAACTATAAAGTATTCTACAACTAAATTTTTTTACTGCGATCTGTAGATCTGGACCGTTCTGATTGTTCGCCCTTCCATCCTGATCTAGCTATCCTGTCAATCTGAGTTAAGACATCCCTGCTCACTTCTGTACAGACATTGAAGAAGAGAGAATGTTATTCTCCAAGTTGCTGGAATGTTTTACTGAATATTTGGAGCTTTTCATAGCGTTGAAATGCTAAAGTTGGAGCATATATATGGATGTGCCACTCAGAGATTTACCGACAACAACTGGAGAAAAGTTTTGGTAATTCTCCTAATGCTAATTGTTTTTTGTTCGTTTGTTACGTGTGATTTTGAGACTAGGCTTTCTTGCTCAATTGTCCACCTAATCTGCCATGATTTCTTTCCCTAAAAAACAGTGTTCAGATGATAAGCAGCCATCATCGAGTAACAAACCAACAACAACAAAGAAAAGTTGATCTGAAGAATTAGTTCCTTGATTTCTTGGACGAAATAAACCCCACATTGTCAATGCTCAGTACGTACTCCATGCAAATAAATCAAATCCTGCAAGAAAGCCATAAATATATACAATACAATACTCCTACTTAATAAAGAACAGAAAAGGGACACATGGGACAGATTTTATTTCTCCTCTCTCGTGAACACACACATGGGGTATGGGACAAGCAATTTAAACCACTTCTCTCTCTCCCTCGGTCCCTCTTCGCATCTACGTGGAGGAATCAACCACTCAAATTGGAATATTATTAGTATATGGTCTCAGAGATCCCAATTTGCTTGCACTCCTTGTTTGGCTCCATAGAGCAACATGCCTCCAAGCACAAGAGAAGACTGCTAGCTAGGAGAGAGAGCTATGCGTGTATAAATAGAGAGAGGCAGATGCATACATCCAGTTGTCCACACACAAAACTTCAGTCTATATACATACCTTGCACAACCTAACCACCATTTCCAGGCAGCATAGCTAGCTTGCTTCTAATGCATGGTTCCTTGTCTTGACCAGCTTCACAACACAACCACATTGTTGTGGTCTTATGCAAGAAAAGGCCAGGGCCACTGCTGCACCAACCAAGGCTAGCTACAACCAAGAGGTACTGGAATTATACATCTCCAAGCTAGCTAGAAGACCTTGGTGGTGGTGAGCTTGGAGGAGCGAGGAACCCATGGCTGCTGCTTCTTCCTGCATAGCTTGCAATGGCACTGCCGATGAGAAGGAGGAGAAGCGCAAGTGTGAGCTCATCGGGTACGAAGCACTGCCGGAGTGGCTCAAGGACAACGAGTTCATCCATGGCTACTACCGCTGCGAGTGGCCGATGAAGGAGACCATCCTCAGCATCTTCTCCATCCACAACGAGACCCTCAATGTTTGGTCGTAAGTCCCTCGTTATATTCCACTCCCCTCATCAGGATTTATACAATTTACGTCTTGTTCGTTTGGCTTATAAGCCGTACTTTTTCAGCCAACGAACAGTATTTTTCTCTCACAACAAATCAGCCAACAGTACTTTTAGCCATGACTTATCAGCCAAGCGAACATGTCATTAATTCATTTTTATCTGACAACAATGTCTGGTCGTAAGTCCCTAATAAGTTGATATTCTTCAGACAATAATTCCTGCACTGCAGCTATATATTTACCTGACATCGATCTATCCTGCTGGCAGGCATTTGATAGGGTTCCTGCTGTTCCTGTGCCTGACAATCGTCACAGCAATGGTGATCCCAAGGAACGGCAGCAGCAGCAGGAGCAGCGGTAGCAGCACTGCATACCAGCTGGGAGATCTGGTGGAGATGGCCAAGGCCAACATGACGGTAGCGCTGAGGCACGAGGCACTTGCAGCGTGTTTCCTGCTGCCACCATCTGCTGCTGCTGCTTCAGCTGCTTTGTCTGAAGATGGTCAGCAGATCCCAACCAGCTGTCCACCCAACACTTCCTCCTCTCACCATCATGCCATCCAGATCCAGGTACTAAATTACTAGACTATTTTTTTTGTTTGTTAACCAGGCCAGTAGTATGTATACTCTCTAGTCACAAAATTTGTGCCGTTTTGGTTGCATATATTTAGAGCCTGTTTAGTTGGCAAAAAATTTTGGTTTTGGGTACTGTACCACTTTCGTTTGTATTTGACAATTAGTGTCTAATTATGGACTAATTAGGTTCGAAAGTTTCGTCTCACGATTTCTCACCCAACTGTGTAATTAGTTTTTTTTCCGTCTACATTTAGTACTCCATGCATGTATCGTAAGATTCGATGTGATGGATACTGCGCAAATTTTTTTGGGTTTTGGGTAGAACTAAACAGGCCCTTAACATTTGAAAACTTTGGCCATCAGTATCATTTTTAAATATCTCGATTGAATTTTGCAAGTGGTATATATAGTTAGAGAAATTAGTATCCGGAGAGTCGTTTTCGTAATATTACAACGTTGATATGTATACATATATGTCATGAGTAATTCGTGTTCAAAATAGTGTGCTGGTGACCATAATAAACTAGGTATCTAAATGACACTATTTTGTGATGGGAGGGAGAAGATTATGTTTGTTCTTAGTCTTTGACCTTATAAACAAATAGTAGGAGTAGATTGTCAGTGTCATATGGTTATGTGCTGTTGTTAATGGGCCCTGTCAGGGTACTGATCTCAGGTAGGTGGCTTCCTTATTAACTTCTGGGTTAGTAGTTGGCATGTGTTTAATGGGCCGCGCTAGTGCTAGCTAGCTGCTGGCAGGCTGCAGCTGCATTGCATTCATTTACACACAGCAGGTCCTTTCTACTTTCCCTGCTAGCTACGGTTCTAAACAGCACTGCTTGTTGATGCATGCTTTAATCTGCTTTATTAGCCTTTAGTTGTTGTGTTCTGCTTTTCAAAATCTCATCAAGGTTGGCACAAGCAGCAGTACAAATTTGGTTGGTTTGTTAATTTATTTTCTTCAATCAATGTTTTCATGTCTGTGGCAGTAAGCGCTGAAGGTAGTACTAGAATAGTTATGATTCTTGCCAAATGCCAACAGAGTGAACCAGCTGGAGTTTGCAAATCTGTCTGAAAGACTGAAACTGGGAGTGATGTGTATATGAAACGGTTTAAGCCTGGATTTGCTTTGGTCAGCAGCAGTTATAATCATGATTGCTACGTGCATGATAACTGCATTGAGACAGCGACACTTGCATTTGCAACTGAACACGCGAGCGTATATATGTAGTATTTTTTTTTCTAACTTTCAAATATATATAATCAAATATAGGGTGCGTGCATATTGATAAAAACAAATACAGTAGTGAGGTGTGAGGATGACAGTTAACAGATTGCTTCAAACCAGGTCCAAATCATAAGATTTTGATCGAGCAATAAATAAGGCACAAACACGTTACTGTACATGACTGGTATGCATTTGTAGATGGTGACAGAGTATCCATGCCTGATTGTTCCTTCTGGATCTCTGTTCTGTTTGTGTTTGGGAATTCACACAGAAAAAAAAGCAGACGTACAAACAAAGAGGAATTGGATGTTGTTTCACCTGACACTGGACCACACATCCAGATCCAGTGTGCTGTAATATAGCATATCAAGTGTAATTTTTCGCTTAACCAAGTACTTTACTGTAGTAAATCTGAGATCTGATGTCTGTGCTTGCATGGCAGGGCAGCACTGGTAATACGGCGGCCACCATGGACGCCGCCGGCACCGGCACCACCGCCGCCGACCCCATCACGCGGTGGCCGCTGTTCGCGTACCTGGGCGGCGCGATGGTGTGCCTGCTGACGAGCAGCGCGTGCCACCTGATCCTGTGCCACTCGGAGCGCACGGCGTACGTGACGCTGCGCCTCGACTACGCCGGCATCGCCGCGCTGATCGCCACCTCCTTCTACCCGCTGGCCTACTACTCCTTCCTCTGCGACCGGGCCCTGCAGCGGCTCTACATGGGCTCCATCACGGCGATGGGCGCCGCCGCCGTGACGGCGTCGCTGGTGCCGGCGTTCCAGGCGCCCCAGCTGCGCCCGCTCCGCGCCGCGCTCTTCTCCTGCATGGGCGCGTCGGGGGCGCTGCCCATCGCACACAAGCTGCTCCTCTACGGCGGCACCGCGCCGGGCGCCGTGGCGTCGGCCGGGTACGAGGCGCTCATGGGCGCGCTCTACGCGCTCGGCGTCGCCGTGTACGCCGCGCGTGTACCCGAGCGGTGGGCGCCCGGGAGGTTCGACCTCGTCGGCCACAGCCACCAGCTGTTCCACCTCTTCGTCATCGCCGGCGCGTACGCGCACTACCTCGCCGGAGTCGAGTACCTCAAATGGAGGGACGTCGACAAATGCTAGCTAGCTAACTGGCTGGCTTGGCTGCTGATTGCCGTGGCGCCATGCGCGCGGGCGCGTGTACACGCTGAATCATGCTGCGGCCTTGAGAAGAGATTGGTGGAACTGTGACAGAGTGACAGGTGGACCCGACCGATATATGCACGGTCGGTCGCAAAGTTCATCAAGAGGTTTGGTTAGAGAGATTATGCCGTGTACCTAATTAGTAGTAGTAGACCATTTCAAAAAAAAAGCAGTAGCAGTAGATACTATATTGATTATTCCTTTTTGTGGACTGATTGAGATGAATGGGTGCAAACAAATTAATGTATGTGTCTCATATTATATCTATTACCTGGCTGAACATCAGATGACAGTGTCCATATTCAGAATTCAAGTCAAGAGATATAGAAATATTCTTTAGATTGCTAGTGGCATTCAGGATGGGATTTGTTAAACCTATACTATACAAAGAGGGTGTGACCGGTTCCTCAGATAAGACTTACATTGCATAAAGGGTTATGCGAGAATAGGTTATCCTCGCACAAGTGAATGCAATTCGGTATTGTTTGGTTGTGCGGTATGTTGCACTGTGTTGTGCTTATGTTTGGTTGGGTGTATTAGGTATCAAGTCCGTGTTTAGTTGTGTTGCACCATGTGAGATAAAACACCAACATTTCATACCTCCTTCACTCCCCTCCTGCTCCTCTTGGCGCTCTTCTAGCCGACGGTGGTAGCGGCTCCCACCACCACCTCCTTCTCAAGTCGTCCGATCTTGACGCCGCGCTCCTCCTTGCCATGCTTGGATCGCGCGGTGGCTAGCAACAACGAGACAAAGGATGGTGAGAGGAGCAGGCCCGACAACAACTCTTCAGACACAATGCCTCTTCTTCGTGGTTTTCACCACCGCTTTTCTTGAGACAATGCTCTTCATATGACTCAAACGCGAAGAGGCAGAGGACCCTCTTGGGGAGAGGTAGAGGTCCGATGCAACATCTTCATGGCTTTCACCACCTGCTCTTCAGACACAATGCTCTTCATATGACTCAAACGTGAAGAGGCATAGTACCCTCTCAGGGAGAGGTAGAGGTTCGATGCAACATCTGCCCGTGCTATTGCGTCGAGCTGTCTACGAGGACCCCTTGGGTTGTCGAGGGCCTACTCAAGAGGAGAAGGCACACGCAGGGACGGTAGCCGCGTGATGGCGGTGCCATGTCGAAGTGAGGTCACGATGAGTCGATGACCTCTGAGGACCCACTCGTGAGAAAGGAAGATGAGAAGGTGCATGGAGGTGGGGTCGTGGTGGCGGCGCCACGCCAGAGCGAGGCCACAACAACAGGGGAAGAGGAGCACGAAGTGCACAATGGGTGCAAGGACCTGCAGTGCGGATGCAAATGCATCCTTGCATATAGCTCGATATGCTAGATTTGAGGGGATTCCGCTAGCCTGCATAAGGCTCTATGCAGGTAACAAAACGGACTCAGTTTGCACTATAGTGACTTGGAGAAAGAGCTATGCAGGCAACCAATCAGATCCATACCGAAGAAAACTCATTAGTGTAGTCTTGGACTAGGACGTAGCGATGGGCTTCATCGACGAGTTCCATCACGGACTGGCTGGTCTAAAAAGCTAGTCTTCCATTACTCAAAAAATGCTCAATGAATGCAGATTCTACCAAGATTCTCATGTATGACTCCGCTGCAAGGATCACACTTGGATCCTGTGTAGCATTGGTTGGTCTGGTATGGCACCACTCCTGGTAGGTTTGGATATTGATGCTTTTGATTGTGTTTGGTTGGTATGGAACCGAGTGAACCGAGTTTGGAAATGCGCCCGTCCGATGGTTTAAAAGGGAACAAATTGGTTCGTGACTTTTACCTACTAGTGGAATGGTTCGGTGCTAGACGAGTTGGACCGGTGAGTCAAACCAAATGACACGTTTAAGCTCGGATACAGGTTCAAATCATTCTGCACCATTTTATGACGTGAACCAAATACGTTGTACGCAGATGGATCAAAACTCCCTTGTCATGCAATCATTTTCGTTGTTTTGAAATTGACCGAAACAACGACCACCTTTGTTGTCTTCTTCCACCACGCTAGGCAGGGGCGGACTTGGAAACCGGGCTGGGGGGCCTGTAGCCTCAGGATGAGCCCCCAAAAAGTCAATTCAGTTTTTTTTAGATCAAATGTGTTTACCCGGCTTTATTGAAAGCTTAACGAAGTCCAAGATCCGATTATGGGGATACTAGCTTATAAGTTTATATCAAAATTTAACAGTACATCCAAACAACTCTAAGGATAGAAAAAGCCCAACAACTCAACAAAAGAACTAAACGCTTTCACACCTGAAAACAAAGCTAGGAACTCGACTTTTCTAAGCAAGCCTAGAGCGCAGAAGCAACATTGGCCGACAGTAGATCAATCATATCATCCGCCAAAGGCTTCAGTTTCGGCTTCAGGAGCGGGCGCGAGGACTTCATCAACATCAAATCGATGATTTGTAGATGAGTGCTCCAGGGGAGAAAAGTCAATTCAGTTTAGCCCAGCTGCAGCCCACAAGAAAGAGGTCTCGTTCGGCCCAGCTCCCTTCTGCGCTCCCGACTCCCTAGCGAGTAACGACGACCGCGCCTGCGCCTCCGTCTTCCGTAGCGGCGGCCTCTTGGCTAGCCTCCTAGCGCCCGTCCGGTCGGTTCCCGGCGCCCCAGCGCAGATCCAGCCACTTGCAGCAGGCCAACCAGATCTGCCCCTGGCTGACTGCGCCTACTGCTTGCCCGGCCGGCCGGCCGGTCCCCAGCCCGCCAGCGGCCACTCGCCAGCAGCCGCCCAGCCCCCAAACGGCCAAGCGCCCTCGCCCTGTTGCCCCCTGCTGCTGTACAGTGAGCCAGACAGTGAGTAATTTTACTGTTTATGCATCAACGCACCCTATTTTGATTGATGATGAGTGCCAATTGTTATTTTCTAAAAATTGCATTGCAGTATTTCATACCGTAGGGCATATGATCTTTTGGTCAAACAAATAATTTGAAATTCGCCACTCAATACGTTGCCTCCTTGATTATGATTGCACTGAGTGAATGGCACACGGACCCGTCTGAGTCTATGAATTGTGGGCCTAATGGCAATTTTGCGAAACCCAGTGATAACGATGCATGCAATGTTGTTCTACATGTTGCTGAAGCAGTTTCAATCAATGTCGTTATTTGTCCTCTTTACTATATCTATATTATTAGTATTATGTATTTTAGTTTGCGGGAACTACGATTTCTAACCTTTAATTGTTTGGCAAACGTGCGCCATTTCTGGGTCCGCTGATGCTAGGTACTCCATAATTGAGAGAGACTAGCAGTGTATATACAGTAACCCATATATAGTTTTGAGGAAATAGATGCCCTATCAGCTAAATGCTAGTGTGCAGGTTTAGAACTGTTTCAGTGCCCTTTTATGGAGTATATAGGGCGTACCCAGTGCAGAGAGCTCCCGCTCTGTGCGGGGTCTGGGGAAGGGTGTCAGTGGCAAGCCTTACCCTCGCCTGTGCAATGTGAGGAGACCGCGACTTGAACCCGGGACCTTCCGGTCACAGGCGGTAAGACTCTACCGCTTGCACCAGGCCTGCCCTTCCTTTTATGGAGTATATAGACATAAAAAATGATTTAATCTTAAATTAACAAGATTCAACAGTAACAACTTGAAAGAAAATTCCAGCATCAATTTGCCTTGATTATCCATTGGGCAAAATGAAAGCCACTTTTCATAAATCTTAAAAAAAAATGAGACCAACCTAGGAGGAAGTATGTGTTTTTTAATAAGAAGAAAATAGGCACTCAAATTCGAGTTGAAGAGAACTTAAACCTTGGTGGTTTCTGGTTTGGTGCATGATCACATGTCGCTCCAACCAGCTGTGGCAGGCTCACTTCCTAACTTTTTAGAAATATCAAAACCGGCAGATAGATGTTCTTGATTTTAATCTTTAGTTATTTTTGGCTCTTTATTCTTTTTGTTAATTAGGAGGGGCTTGTTGCTTGCCCCATGATCCGTAGAAAAGAAATAGGGATTTTAACAGTTACCCCTGACTTCGTTGGAGGCATGAGAGAGCTGGAGTTCAAAGATATGCTTGGTATTATGGAAGGCCTGTATACCTTACAAAAAGTCAAAAAGTATAATAAAATCAAGGTAAAACAAATTTCAGATTAAATAATAACGATCATTTGTCGAATTTGCTTAGACTGGCCAAGAACAAGTATCCCCAAGGTTTTGGGTAGTAGAGGCATACCAAGAAACTGCCTTTCGCTACTTTTTTTGCATAAGATTTGCTCCCATGGTCCTAGCTACCAAGAAACTAGTACGTGGTTGGAACAAACAGTTTGGTCTGTTCTTGTTTTGTTATAAGTTTACCTAACATTGCCACATTATCTAATTTTCCGTTTTCTTTACTTACAGTTTTGCAGCATAAGAAATATACTTACACATGGCTCACGGCTTGTTAGGATCGATGTCAGATAGGGAGCATCAAACAGTGTTTGTCACGGTGGGGACCACATGTTTTGATGCTCTTGTCACGGCGGTAGATTCTTCAGAAGTGAAGAAGGCTTTATTGCAAAAAGGTTATAGTAATCTTCTTATTCAAATGGGCCGGGGAACATATGTTCCATCTAAGGTTAGTATGCTTATACCTTCTGTAGTAAATTATCAACCATTTAATTCCTGTCTAGTTTGCATTAAGTCGGCAATGGGGCGAACACCAAGTTCTGGACTGATCGGTGGTTACAAGGGTCATCTATTAAGCTATTAGCTCCCAATTTATTTGCAACTGTACCCAAGAGGCGGGTTAAGAAGCGTACAGTTCAGGAAGCACTAATGGACAATCAGTGGGTACAGGATATCCAGGGGCACCATTCTGTGGAGGTCCTATCAGAATTCTTGGACATTTGGGACTTGGTTCAAGAAACATTACTCCTGCCAGAGGTTGAGGATGTTCATAAGTGGAAGTTGGACATTTCAGGTCAATTCTCTACTAAGTCAGCATATGAGGCGTTGTTCCTTGGAGCAGTCCAGTTTGAGCCGAGCACTCTAATTTGGAAGAATTGGGGTCCCAGGAAGTGCAAATTCTTCCTTTGGTTAGTTGCACATAATCGATGTTGGACAGCTGATAGACTTGCTAGAAGAGGTCTTCCTCATCCTGAGCACTGCCCCTTCTGTGACCAAGAGGATGAAACCATTCAGCACCTCCTCTGTTACTGTGTCTTCTCTCGGCAATTCTGGTTTCAATTATTTCGCACCTTTGCACTCCCGGATATTGCACCTCAGCCATCTGCCACTGGGTTCTTTGACTGGTGGCAACAAGCCGGTAGCACTCTTGACAAAAGAACCAAGAGGATTCAATTCATTGGTCATGCTAGGAGCCTGGATGCTTTGGAAGGAGAGAAATGATATTGTGTTCAATGGTGCCTCGCCTAGGATTGAGCGGGTGCTTCTCCTTGCACAAGAAGAAGCCGCTCTCTGGAGGTTGGTAGGCGCTAAAGGCATTAGTGAACTGGTCGCTGCTCGACCTGGGGTTTAGCAGCGCTTGTTGAGGGAGGTCGTCTTTTTTACAGTTTTAACTGGCGCGTATGTAATCTAGAGACGGTGTGTGTGTGTGTGCTGTTGTATGGCTATATAAGCCTTTTATCCCCTTTCTTAATGCAATGATATGCAGCTCTCCTGCGTATTCCAGAAAAAAAAAACAATTTCTACTCTTTCTTATAGGAATCTTCATAACTGGTAATTTAAGTCATCCTAAATGAAAAGGCAGCTGGAAACACACCCCATATTTTTTTGGAAATGGATCTCATGCAAATTGTTTTGTGCAAATAATGATTCAGATGCTTTATGACGAAGACTTCCCAAACAAATGTTGTTTTAACTCTTAAGTAAACAGGGTGTGTGAACTGATGTTTTCTGAGGAGCAGTTCTTACTTTATGTTTGAGAAAACAAACCTATAGTTGTTTCGCGGTCTTGTTCATTCCTTATTCATATGTCCAACTTGTTTCACCAGCTGTTTAAATTAATTGTATTAACCTTGCTTTCCTTTTTTTTTTAATATTCATGTAATTCCCTAGTGCCCTATTTCTGATTATACAGTGAAGTTAATAGCATTTATCTATTTGGGACTACAGGTCTCAGGAGATGCTACCCTTCAAGTTGATCATTTCACATTTTCACCAAGCATCGCTGACAATATGAGAACAGCTTCCCTAGTTATCAGCCATGCAGGTAAGTATAGTTTTCCAAATGGTGGAAAACAGAAAGACATTGGAATATTTTCCATGGTATTATATCTTTTATTGGCTAAATCTTGAAATTGCTAGCTTGAACTTGATGCGCCAGTGAATTTTCCAGTAATTAATTTTAGACCATAAAATGTGGACAACATACTTCCTTTTAGCTTGTTCTTCTCTTTCTATTTAAGGATGATGAGCTAGTAAAATCTTCCAATATACGTACCAATTTATCATATGCTCTGGATCTGAACTATTTTCACCCAGCCCCACTTATTCATCTGATGAAGTAATTGAGATTTGAAAACCTTCCATCCTTAATAGTTAATAGATGGAAGAAAACTGGTAAATGATTAAGGACTACAATCTCTAGTGTTAAAGAATCATGCTACTACGATCATGAAAGATTGCTGGGTTACCCTAGAATCCCAGACAGTACAAGGCACTGTAAAAAGTACGCTTGTTAATTGCAACTACAATATGTTTCAACTTTTTTACTGTTTGAAATGCGCTCCATCTTTTGTTACTATCAAAAGTTTTCCTTTTGCATATCATTGAATAATTTGCATAAGGACTATTCTGCAGCAATGCATCACAAGTTCCAGGCAGTATCAGTCTTTTTTTTTTTTAAGTTCATGATGCTCAAAATGATCAGCACGGTTGCCCTGTTGCAACTCGAGCAGTTCTGCATATCTGGATGAATAAGCTTTTTAACTGCACTCAAAAGCCAGACCTCGTGATTGACTAAGTTTTTGTTTGAAATATTTTGCCTGATTATACTATTTATTGGTTAGTCTCTCAAGATTTAGCTCTGGCAGGTTCAGGAAGCATATTTGAGACACTACGGCTCGGCAAACCACTAATCGTTGTTGTAAATGAAGATTTGATGGACAATCACCAGAGTGAATTAGCAGAAGAATTGGCTGAAAGGAAGCATCTCTTCTGTGCACGCCCACAAACATTGGGAGAGACCATCCGGGCAATGGACCTAGAGACACTAGTTCCTTATGAGCCAGGGGACGCCACACCAGTTGTCACCCGGATAAACAGATTTCTTGGCTTTCCAGTTGACTGACGACGATACCTCCATTAAGGCGCTGGCTCCTGTATATGTTTGATACAAAATGGATTAACTGACAGATGATCACTGATGATTTTGTATTGTTGTGTACGGTGACAAGAAAATAGCAAGACTTTCTTCTTTGCAGTTGGGTATAATTAGGGACACATGGTTTCATGACATGCATTGTTTCTCTGCCGATTAACTGCACCAATTCGTAATGCTTGACAATGGCCGATTAACGCAAGTACCTTAACAAGAGAAGACTATAATATTCTTGCGTGAATCGTGTGTAAATTGTCAACTGTTTTGGCAGCGAAAATTGTGAATGTGAATTTCTGACGCGTAGCAAACGGGTTATGAGTTATGACTTTTGTTTTCCAACGCTGAACTATTAAAAATAAGGTACTTGCGTTTTTTATGAGTAGATATAATTTATGTAACAATACTTTTGCTCAATCCTGGCACGCAGTCTACTTCAAATGTGCTGCTTTTTTCGTTCTAAATTATAAGACGTTTTGGCTTCTTTAGACATACGGTCCATTTATGTCTATATCTAGAAAATTCAAAATGTTTTGTAATTTAGACCATAGAAACTACTACACTAGTCGTGAGAGGCATCGACAGATGCTAGAATATTCTTTTGCTGAAATTAAAAATATAATATTATTTTTTATAAGAAAAAATATATATAAGGATATAGATGTATAGATTTGCTAATCTCAGATTAGTTGGCACCATACCTTAAAATCCGAGATATATTTCCAAGATATATCCCGTCCGTTTGGATCCGCAAGTTAAGGTTTATTATATGCAAATCTTCCTTATAAAATAAAATGAACCCTCTCAAGGCGTCAAGGAAGCGCTAGGCAGTAGCAAGAGCCTGAGGGTACGGTGTTGTACACAATCAATCTGGCAGCCGCCATGACGATGCCGAAGCGGATCGCCCACAACGCCCACAGGGAGCACCCCTTGGTTCTCCGTGACACCGGCAGTTCCTGCTTCCGCTGCGATGGCTGTGGCTGTGACGGCTCCGGCCTCCGCTACCGCTGCGGCGAGTGCGACTTCGACCTCCACGAGCACTGCGCGACGTGCCCGCCCACCGCGTCCGTCCCGTTCCACGCGCAGCACGCGGTGGAGTTTGAGGACCAGGCCGCCGTGTTCCCCGAGACGAGCCCGCGCAGCTGCGACCTCTGCGGCGCGTCCGTCACGGGCATGCACTACTTCTGCCGCCCCCTGTCTGCGCCCAGCTTCCTGTCGCCGCCGTCTCGCCGGTGCACCCGGCGCACCTCGTCACGCTCACCGTGTCGGTGCCCCGGAAGTGCACCCACTGCGGCGTCGACTGCTTGCTGTGCCGCTACCGATGCATCCCCTGCGGAGTCGACCTGCATCTAAGGTGCTTGCTGGGCAACTCCCACCAAACTCCCCTCAGAATTCCCAGAGGCTAGAAAGTGGAGACAACAATTAGCTTGCATTGGTCTGTCTTTGCGCGCTGCCGAAATAAGATCAGATCTCTTGTTCGCGTGGGTCTTCGACTTGGATGTGGACCGTCACAGCACATCTTCCGTCAAATAAGTGTCTTTTCGTCCCCGTCTTCGTGTCATATTCGTGGGACAATTTTAATTCACTTCTCCTATACTTCAGACCCTTGAATTTTAAGATGTAGTACAAATAAATTGTTACTTTTCTGATTTGTTATTTGTCTTTATATGTCTATCTATAAAAATAATTGTTAATTATCTTTGTGCCAACATAAATCAGATTTTTGTGGAGTTTAGCGTTTTGTCTAACTAGGTTTTTATTCTCGGAACTAAAAACTGCATAAATTGTATAACTAACTAAAACTGCAATCGTAGTATAAAAATATGTAATAACCATCGCCCGAAAGGTTAGCAAGTCACTGTTTTTTATTTTCTTTAGGGTTTGCCTAGATGTACTCACATATATCTCTACACCTCTTTTAAATTAAGAGTATGGGTGGAAATTAAACCAAGTTTCAAACCAATCTACTTCAACACAACACATGTATTACGATGGATACTAGTGCATCCAAATAAGACAAGTGTTAATCCATCTCTTGTCTTCTTCTAGGTGTCTTTCTGTCTTATACGATAGAATTCTAATAAAATCACTATTTTTATTATTTATTATTATTATGGGTACAGTTACACCCTCTAACTCCCTTTGGAACGTAGGAATTTCACAGGAATTCTATAGGATTTTTCACAGAATTCAGTTCATTTTTCATAGTAAAAATGCAGGAACGGAAAAAAATTCCACGTTCCAAAGGGGCATAAATATAATATACCTGGACCCGTATTATGTTTGATTAGTGACACGTAGGCTTAGTCTTCATTAAATCTTATGCAGCATGATCTAAACAAGCGATCATATTGGGATTAATTAGTTGCCTGTAGCTAGCCTGCATTAGATCTTATGCAACATGATCTAAGCTAGCACAACGTATGGAGTGCCTTTGTATTTGGTTCTCCTAATCTGATGTTTGTAGTAAAGATAGAGTGAGAAAGTATTTTACTTTTGTTTGTCCATCGGCTTATACAAATCTCCGTTTTTGAATGCAGAAAAATCTGGCATACTAACTAATGCTATATTGGTCTTTTTTTTTTTGCGTATTGTGCAAGTCTACATAAGAGCCTCAACATGTAACCAAACATAAACATACAAACCTAGATACAAACTAATGCAGACAATCAGTCAGACTTAATGTGTCTTATTCATAATGTTGCTGCTGCTTTTACTAACTAATACTCCCTCCCGTCCCAGAAAGAATGCAATTCTAGTACAATCTCAAGTTTTAGTAGCTTAAATTTGACCAATTATAGATAAAAAAGTATCAATATTTATGATACCAAATAAATACCATTACACTAATTATGGAATGTATTTTGATAATAAATTAATTCGAAGCCATAAATATAAATACTATGCACTAGAAACTTGGTCAAACGTGAACCACTCTACATGGCACGCAACTCATAGTTGCATTCTTTTTGGGATGGAGGTAGTATTAAACACAAATCTGCATTAGAAGAATCCTCTTATCTTTCTAATGACCAGTGGAGAAGAAAAGCTTGGCTTCTAAGTGAAAATTTAAAATTATTGAAGCAAGAGGAAACATATTGGTATAATAGATGCCATGAGAATTGGTTATTAAAAGGAGACTTAAATACCAGCTATTTTCACAAAGTTACAAGTTGAAGGAGAAGTAAAAACACAACTATTAGTTTGGAAAAAGATGGATCCATTATTGAAGGTGATGAAAATTTGTTGAAGCATGCCACTTAGTACTACTCCGAGTTATTTGGCACTGCCCCTGAGTTTAATATTCACCTAGATTGTAGCATTTGGGATGGGATTGAGTCATAGTCTGAAATAAACAATACCAATCTCTGCAAATCTTTCTCTGAGACAATTCTAAAGTTGTAGCGCTAAATGAGATCTGCAACATTCTAGTTTTAAGTTTTTTATTTGAAGTTGTTTAGATTTCCTTAAAAATTGATACAAAACACGACTAATATGTAGCTGAAACATTATACTATTCCTTTGAGCATCTTAATGACCTAAAATGACAAAACACAAAACTAGTAATTTGAAGATCTAATCGAGTGCTACAATTTCCATATACAAAGCATCTTTATCGGACACCTTACAAGAAAGATATTGTTTTTCTAAGACGACAAACACTGATACATGATTAATATGCTGCTAATTTTTTTTTAATTTTTTGAGAAGACATCAAATGATTAAACTCAAAACTAGAACGTTGTAAATCTTTTTGACAGCTACATTTTTCTCATACAAAATTTCTTTATCCGACACAATACAAGAAAGATGTGATTTTTCTAACTTGACAAGCCATGATACACGATTAATTTGTTGTGAAAACTTTATATTATTTTTGAGTATCTTAATAACCTTAAATGACAAAATTCATAACTATAAATTTGTGGATCTTATCAAGAACTACAATTTTCATATACAAGTATCTTTATTCAACACCAACAAAGAAAGATATGATTTTTCTATAGCGACATGCCCAGGTACGTGATTAATATGTTGCTGAAATTTTATATTATTTTTTGAGTATCTTAACAATCTCAAATAACAAAACTCAAAACTATAAAGTCAAAGATGTCATCGAGAGCTATAATTATACAAAGTATCTTTATCCAGCATCATATAAAAAGAATATGATTTTTCTAAGGCGACAAGCCTTGGGCATTGTTTAGCCACTTTTAGACTACTAGCTTTTGAACTTTTCAAAACTCAATCCGCTCTCATAAACCAAAAGTCCAAAAGCTCAGTATAGTGAGTTTCTAGCTTTTGGAAGCTTTTTGGTTTTTGAAAGGTCCAAAAGCCGAGATCTAAAAGCTCTCACGAAGCTTAAACAAACAAGCCATTGGTACACGATTAATGTGCTACTGAAACTTTATATTGTTTGTTTAGCATATTAACGATCTAAAATAAAAAAATCAAAACTAGAAAGTTATAGATCTCATCGAGGGATACAATTTTCATATAAAATCATCTTCATCCGAAATTATATAAAAATGATACAATTTTTCTAATGTGGATCCTTGCAGCTAACATGTGGGTCCCTTCTATCAGATCCATGCCAGGGTAATGGATTGGATAAACGTCCATTGGAATCCGGATGAGACCCGTTACAACTTTAGCGAGCAAAAAATATATTTTAGGGCTTCGAGGACCTAAATGACACATTCAGACAATTTTAAGGATCGCTGGTGTATTTTACTCAATTTATTAATATTTATAATACTAAATAAATATCCTTAGATTAATTATGTCATATTTTTATGGGATCCCTATTTTTATATATAGTTTTGGTCAAAGTTAGCATCGATTAACTCTAGATGAAATTTTATTTTGAGACGGATGAATTATCCTAGAGACTCTATCTAGGCCAGTAGTACTTTCGCTGCCGCTAGTTCCAGGGTGGAGCTAGCTCGATGGAATTGATTGTTTCCTGTAATAGACTTCAAAGAAGGTGAAAGGTCCTTAGAAATCCTTAATTTTAAGAATCTATATAAAAGATATCATTATTCTAAAATCCTATCTAAACAAACTAGATTCTAGTAGACTTTAACATACAAACCAAGAATCCAACAAAACACATTTGATTTTTGTTTAGCTCTAATCCTTAAAATTCCTTTACAACCAAACAGGACCTAATTCAGTTGGTCTTTATTTGAAAAGGTATACAAAAACATATTGGAAAAAGTCTACGTAATTCCTCAACTATTCACGGTGGACTACTTCACCCTCAAACTATAAAACCAGATTTTCTACCTCCTGAACTTTCAAAAATCGGTCAAATAACCCTCCAAGCGGTTTTGGACGGTAGTTTTGCTACAGTGACGTTGATTTTGTCTTTTTCTTTTTTATTTATTTTCGCCGATTCTTTGAAAAATTATAGTAAATCACAGAAAAATCATAAAATAGAAAATCTAATTTTGTTGGACTCTACATGAGTAGATCTACACAGTGAACATATAATATGGTATGTTTTAGTATAATTTTTTTGCTGTATCTTTAGATCTATGCTTTTCTGTAATTAATTGGAATAATTCATAGCTGTAGCTTTTATGATCCAATTATGGTGAAATTTTTATGGTGAGCTAATTATTTTATGCTTGAACTATAGTAAAATTTTCATACACATTGGATCATGTATAACTTAGTTATAGATAAAGCATAGATTTAACAAGCAAAAACCAAAATAAATCTATAACTAAGTTATACATGATCTAATGAGTATGAAATTTTTATACAGTTCAATAGTTTAAGCATACAATAATTAGTCCACCATAAAAAATTCACCAAAATTTAGACCATAGAAGCTACAACTATGAATTATTCCAATTAATTATAGAAAAGCATAGATCTAAAACTATAACAAAAGCTTTATATTAAAGCATACCATATTATATGTTTGCTGTGTAGATCTACTCATGTAGAGTCCAACAAAATTAGATTTTCTATTTTATGATTTTTCTGTGATTTACTATGATTTTTAAAGATTCAACGAAAATAAATAAATAAAAGACAAAACCACCGTCTCTGTAGCAAAACCATCAACCAAAACCGCTTGTGTGTGTGGGGGGGGGGTTTATGTGACCGGTTTTGAAGAATTTAGGGGGTAGAAAATCCGATTTTATAGTTTGAGGGATAAAATAGTCCACTCTGAATAGTTGGGATTACGTAGACTTTTTCTAAAACATATAAGATTTTTTTTTAATCTAGATTCTTAAAATTCCTTTAGAACCAAACCAGAGTCAGTTGGCCTTTATCCAAAAAAGTTATATAAAAAGAGATTGGCCATAGGCCAATAGCCTAGATAATTTTTCATGTTTCTCTATCTCTCTTTCAATAATATTCTTGATTTTTTGTTCGCAAAAAAATATTCTTGATTTTCACCGTCAATCACTTTCAGCATCACGGATGTTTTGATTATTTGGTAAAGAAATTCGGCTCAAACTCCTTCCATCATAACTTTTGATAGACAACATGTGGCGACCAAAGACAAAAAATGTGCTCCATAATAGTACTATTTTGCAAAAGGCAAAAGTGTTAGAGTCCAGGGTCTAATCGTAAAAGCAAAGACGTTTGACTCCCGCACCCCGACGCAAGCAATCCACGCGGCGGCCGCCAACGCCGCCGCCGCCGCCGTCCCCATGGTTTTCCAATTTCCATGCTCGGTTCCCAGCCGGCGATTCCATTTCAGTGTCCTTTCTCCTCTCGAGACCTTGCGCGGTTGCGCCATCCCAGCTCAACGCTCCGTCGATGAACTGAATAGCTTGGCGGTTTAACCCTGTCGTGTGCGATGAGCTCCTCGCCGGTGGCCACCGCCGCTGCGTCGGCAGCCGTGGTGGCGCTGGCCGTCGCCAACCGCGTGCTCTACAAGCTCGCGCTCGTGCCGCTCAAGGCGTACCCCTTCTTCCTCGCCCAGCTCACCACCTTCGGGTAAGTAAGCCAAACCAAGTCCTCTTCTTCTTCCGCTGCTGGCCCAGCCGGCCGCGAGCTTGTTGTTCGACGAAATGCGGAGAAAACAATTTTCGGTGCGCTTGACGTGCCAGCTAGTTTCTTCGGATCCTGAATTGCGGTTCGTCGTTGTTTGCGCGTGCAGATACGTCGCCGTGTACTTCTCGATACTCTACGCGAGGTGCCGCTCGGGGGTGGTGACTAGAGACATGCTGGCGCTCCGCAAGCACCGGTTCGTCGCGATCGGTTTGCTGGAGGCACTTGGAGTCGCTTCTGGCATGTCTGCTGGAGGTAGTTTTGTTCACGCTCACTCTGAGAATGATGTGATTGATTTCTACAGATTGAATTGCATTTCTTGCTCGATCAGAAAAGAAGGGGCAAAATGGTTTGGTTTCATGCAGTTCTAGGTTCTAATTCAATTGTGTTAATTGGCTGTTATTTATGGATCTTGCAGCTATGCTACCAGGGCCTGCTATTCCTATACTGTCCCAGGTATATGTGCCCTCTGGTTTGTTTCTGTTGCAATCCGTTTTTTTTAAAACTCTGTTCAGTTATCTATGATGGTTCTTTGATCTGAGTTATTTCAGTTATTACTAAATTAAATTTTCCATGTTGTGCTGTAGTTTCTTTGTTAACGCAAGCAACAGTATTTTACTTCTGTAGTCACCCTGAGATTTTGGGAGGTTTTGGTTGATGCTTACTCTTACCAATTTCATCTGATTACTAGTGTTTAGACCTGCTATGATTCTACAATTATATGTGAAGTGAGATATTCCTTTGTGTGTCTGCTGCAGTCATTCTTGGTGTGGCAGCTTACCTTCTCTGCCCTGCTTTTAGGGAGGACGTATTCAGCCAGACAAATCATTGGTTGCTTCCTAGTAATTTCTGGTGTGATTCTTGCTGTTGCAAGGTATGCCATTTGAAACATCTGCTTTATTTTTCTGGTTCTTGTGGCGCAATGTATATATTTGGAGAAAAAGGATGCGAAACATGCACCTATACATCAGTAACATTTTACTAGTTTGCTAGAGAAGTGTTATTGTGCTATTATTGTACTAAGTTATTACTACCACATTGCTAAAGTTTAATAGATTGGTCATCACAAGATTTTTTACTTTTTAGTGGAGGGAATGAGGGCCATCTTCTTTCAGAAGTCAAGTTAATTTGGCCAGCGTTGATGGTGGCTTCGTCAGCATTTCAAGCTGGTGCATCTATTCTGAAGGTATAGTCGCTTTCTTTATCTCATATTGTTCATTTTTGCTTACTGGTGTTCTCAAATATGTTAATTGCGTATTATAGGAAGCAGTTTTCATTGATGGTGCAAAACGTCTTAAGGTTGAGGCATCTTTTCTCCATGGTGCTTTTATTTGTTCATTGGTACACATTGATTTATGAACTCATGGTCTATTGTTCGTAACATTAAATATTTGTGCAGGGGAAGCGGCCAGACATCTTTGTGGTCAATTCATTTGGATCTGGATTTCAGGTGATTTTAGAAATTGAACAGAGTTGGGATGTTCTATTGCATACTTTCTTGGTTCATGCTTGACTGCAATTATTATGTCTTTAAACCTGGATTTAATACTGTATACTATGTAATATTTTTTCAGGCTCTTTTTGTCTTTCTGCTTCTTCCATTTCTTTCTAATTTGAGGGGAATTAAGTTTGCTGAGCTTCCTGCTTATTTAAATGGTGGTGCTGAGTGCTTCTTAAATGTTGCAGAAAGTCCAATTGGTAATGGTTCTTGCACAGAATTGTATGTTTCCAATTAGTGTATATGTATTCTTATTGTTAAATATGTGCAATTTTGTTAGCTGACTAGCAACTCATAAATGCTTATGAATTCTAACCGAGAGATTTATCTTTGGACTTCTGTGGAAATCTCGAGGAACTTTCAGTCTAATGAACTACTGAACTTTCTGACATTCTGATTTTAGGCCATGCTCTCTCTTTTGCTTTGGGAAAACCTGTTTGTGTATGTTGCTCACCGGCTACTTTTCTTACAGATTGCGGAGGTGCTCCATTCCTGCCTTTGCTTTTTATAGTGGTGAATATGGCATTCAATATCTCTCTCCTCAATTTGGTGAAGATGTCATCTGCCCTTGTGGCTTCCCTTACAGCAACATCAGCAGGTCCTTTATTGTTTTTTGCCCCTTGATTACCCCTCCTGCATTTTCATCTTCTTTCTTGGTGTTATGCCAGTGGGTAGACCAAACGGAAGGAATATAACCATACAGTACTAATTATGCTTGTTTTCAATTTTAGTGCCAATATCAATCTATATTCTTTCACTTCCTTTGCCCTACATCCCCCATGGCGCGGAATTAAGCATGTCTTTCATCATTGGTGCCGTGGTATTGCTGATGGGCCTGATTCTGTATAACCTTCCCCAATCGTCATTGAAACAATTGAAGGCTGATTGAAGGTAAAGTGACACACTGCCAGATGACTTAGCAGAAAGTTTACTGATTGATATTTGTGGTGAAATTGATTTCCACCTGAACTATACGAAGCATGTGACACATTCAGATTTGTATTATGAATGTTATCAAAATGAAGATTTTCTATAGCGCAAGCAACATGTGTATGTAGTAGGGACATTTTTAATACTTAGTCTGCAAGTGTTATCTAAATGTGAGTTCAATGAGCTTTGTGCTTAGAATGATGCTTTGAGTTCAATGATTACATTGTGCTATGAATGATGATGTGCGTTCAATTACATTTAAGCTATGGACGATGCTATCTTTCCTAGTTTAACTGCTTAATCTAAACACATTATGCTCAATGTCAATGGCTGTTTTACTCGTCATAACAGTACATGCTTTCTTGATGCCTCTTGTCCTGGGTCCAATATTGTCATCACCTTTACTCTTCTATGGAAAAACTCTTTTTCTTAGCTGCAAGATTCAAGCACGAGGTAAAGGTGAAGGAGTCCAGTGCCGAATCCTCATATAGGACATAAGTATGTGAGGAGCACACTGATACCAATTTTTTAAGTTCAGTGTAGGGTAGTGGTGGCTGGTGGTGTTGTTGTTGAGCCCGCTGGTACGTGGTACTGTAGCGAGAGCCGCTGCAGCTGCAGCGAACACACCTGTTGTTGTTGTTGTTGTGGTGGTGGTGTGTGTGTGTATGGTTTTTGGGGATAAAAGTTATCTTTTTTTTTAACATTTAGTAGGGCTGCATACCTTCAAGCACAAAAGGGAAAAGTTTTTTTTTATGATCTCAAATAGTTGATTTTCTCCTCTTTGACTCATGTAGTATAAAATTTGACCTTGTTTAACTCCTCCAGCCTGTGAGCTTTTTGTTTCTCCATGTACCAACTAAGTATGAAGTTTAAATTTTGTAGTCGTAGGTGGCATCATAAAGTATGTTGCGCGCCGTTTTGGTCATTTGAATTGGAATGCCTTTCCAACATCTTTGAGCGGACATGCTCGATAGTGATCAGGTCGCTGCTTCGGAGGACAGGATGGGCAGCAAGAGACTAGTCTGTAGCAGTAAAAGAATGTAATTAGCCTTTCCATTTTTTAGGCCAGGAATCTAACCTAGGTGTTGTGGACTTCACTAGAACTAAATGGAATTGGCATTTCTAGTTCTAGCATATCAAAATAGGCTGTTCAGACAATATGATTAATTCAATCCAATTCTAGAGATCCAAACGGGCCTTTAGAGAACATACTTAAATTTTTTCATGCATTTTTCTTATCTCGATGCTTAAACTAGCATGAGATGCTTTCAGCAAATAACCTAACAAATTCCATTGCATTTTGTAAGTAAGAAACACAGAACCTAGCGAGGGTCTAGTGGTTAATTGACAATATAACCATTAGGACTAACAAAGTTTACTAGCATACAAGGTACTTAGTCTTATGGATGCAAGAGATGAACACTTGAGCTAGGCTGCAGTAAAGATCAAGGAATCAACACATCGAATGAAGATCAAAGAGGAGCATTGAAGACCCTAGAAGTCGAACAAGAAATTCAAGACATTATATAAGAGAAGCCTGGACAAAGGGACATGAAGAAATAACTAAGAAAGCCACTAGAGAAGTGACCAAAGAAAGCAGTGGAGCTTTTCCAATGGGCACCGTAGAATTTCAGTGGGGTCCAGTCTGAGGCATAGTCCGGTGTGTGCACATGAGTTACATTATAGAGGCGATGCACAAGCACAATGGAGAAGAAGAGAGCACCGACGCTCTCCGGTGATGCACCAGAGATCCCACTAGAGCTATGAGGTGCAGCAATTAGGCCCCAGTCCACATTGTACATAATGCGTCTGGCGAGATTTAAGACTTCCAACAACCGGCAAACAGCTAGCTGACATGATAGGGAATCGGATTTCTCTGGTATGACCACCGTAGAATTCCGATGCTTATTCCAATTGTAGCTCTTGTTTGCAACAACTAGTTGAGTATGTTGAGGTTATATATATTCCCATGCTCAGCCATTTGGAGTGTGTTAGAGCTTGAGGAAGCTATAGTTGAGTTGAGGCTCAAACATTTGTGCTCTAGCCACCATATGCGCTTAAGAGAAGATTAGGTGATTAGCAAGAGTGCTAGGATTAGTGCTTAGTCTAGATTGAGGCCGCTTTAGCACTAGCTATATGTTTATGCCTAGTGTTTAGTGAGGTTTACATACCTCCGTGCTATCCGTACATGCATGCACCAAGAGTTTTAAACACGGGGTTTGCAATCTTATAAGATCACACCAATTGGATTTGTGGTGTGGCTGCTAGTGGTGTCTGGGGGCAAGAGGCCCTTGTTACTTTGGTTAAAAGCTCTCCGTAGTGAAGACTCGGGAAGGCCAGTGAGATATTTGTGGTGTTACCCAGCCACCAAGCTTGCCCCTTGCGAGGGGCTTCAACGAGGACTAGGAGAAAGCTTGAGTTTTATGATGCCTCGAGAAAAACCATCATGCAGTAGTTTATGTTCTCTAACACAATTTACATTTCTGTTTTTAGTTTGCATTTCTTGATGTGTGTGCGCTTATCTTCCTAGACTAGCTTGCAAGATTAGTTCATTGGATCCTTGGGTGCAAAACTCCTTTTGCGTTAAGATATAGACACTTTGAAAAACTAGTGCACATCTACATAGAACTTGTGCAGATAGATTTTGTAAGGGTTTTTAAGCTTAGTTTTAAGTGACGTAATTCACCATTCCTCTTAGACGTCATGGTCCCTTCAATGGTATTAGAGCCAGTTGGTTCAACTTTGGACCTTGGTTTAATCGTCGTTGAGCTTTTGACGCTTTTATCAGGATGGAACCTGGTAGACCCTCACACTTATGACATGAACTTCTATTTCCTGTCTTGCTTCTTTTGGAGAGTTACTGTAGATGGAATGAACCCCCCAAAAAAAATCCCGAAAAAACCCACCACCAGTGATGAGGAGATCCACTCTTACCATTCTAGACTAAAAAAAATTTAGACCAACTTTGGTCATGGAGAATGAGGGAACAATAACTAAAATTCTAATAGAGCATTTCAATTTATGAATTCCCCCCTAAAATAACACGGGGGAAGGATGGGCCGCTGCAAAAAACGACATATGCACTCCTCGGCTCTATCAGAAATTCTCTCCCCCTTCAGTTTGGGGGCCCATGAAGTGCAAATTCATTGTGCTGTAGCAAATTTTGATGAGGAATGCGGCAGGCACAGCGCACAAGGCCCACTTGAAATTTTAATCAACACATGCAAGATTGTGGGATACATGATTTAAGAGAGAGGCAAAAAAGAAAAAGAGTCACTCAGCCAATCTCTACGTCTAAAAAGACTGTAACATAATCGTCTACCCGGTGATACCAAATCTCAATCTCTGCTCACGAGTTTGCGTCCGATCGACACGAATCATCTTCTACTCATAGCTCAACCTTTCGCGTCCTACCTAACTTCAATATGAAGACCAGATCCGCATGTCCGCATCCGATACGAAGTACTCAGAGCTTATACATCCGCGTTGGGTTACTTCCAAGATGATGAGCGTAACGCAGGCCAAGGGGCACACGTGGCGGGGCGTCGGAGGCACCGCTTCGCCTCGCCGCGTGGGCCACCTTAGGGGATGTTACGTTGCCAAGCACGAGCAGAGTAGCTTGCCGCCTGCTGCACCAAAAACTCGCTGACGCCACTTGGCTCGCCATGCTGACCATAGGACGTGATGTCGTCGCCGAGCATGAGCCGAAGTAGCTACGTGAGATCTTGATCGTTGTCTCGGTGGAACGAACGGGCATTAGCCTAGTTAGAGCATCTCCAAGAGATTAGCCAAAAAGACTAGCCAAATTTACTGATTTAGCTACTCTCTAAATTAGATTTGACAAAAAAAATACTAGAGTACTCTAGCAGACCGTAAAACAAGAGGCTAGATGGCTAGTGAGGTAGGCTATCCAAAAGTAGAGAGCGAATAAGGTGGGATGGAGAGCTACTAAATTTGGAGAGTTATTTACAGAGTCTGTTGAAGACGTTTTTCTTTTAATGATAGCCAAATTTAACTCTAGAAAACGATTTGGCTAATTACTTGGATATGCTCTTGTATTGTTATAAGCTTAAGACTCCGGGACCTAAGCAAGACACCGTCTGCAGGATTTGTTTTCCCAGAGGCATGCAGTTGTCGTCGGCCATTCTTGGCAGCAGCAAAATGTTCTCGATCGGTAAGGTCTTTCAGCTCATGCATCGAAGCTAGGTTTGCAGGTACTCTACCCTTGCATTTAATATGAGTTTCAGCTAGTCAAATTTTTGTGCCTCCACATGGATATCACGTGGCACGCGTCGACCATCTTTGATCTATATCTCAATGATGCATATTGGGTTCGCACCTTCCATGCCATTTCCTGATCAATTGCTAACATACTAGTTGGCAAATTTTACATGTCAATGTCTTGATGTGTACGTAACAGAGTAACCGCCATTCATGTCCCATCGATCTCACATCACTTTGCCATGGTTCTCTCTGCTGCCATGGTTTTCAACTTACGATTATGATCACCGATGCCGACCATATCAACGTCTAGAGAACTCTTGTATATGCAGGAATAGACTCGGCAATGTGTGGATCTATCCTGTCACACCATCTATAGGCAACCACTTTGTACATACAGTAGATGTCTTCTACTCCAACCACACGGTCTAATATAGTAGTGGATGCCATGTAATAGCTAATAAAAGTAGAATTATCAGCATCAGCACCAATCAGGAATAATGCACACAACCTATATTAGAAAAACAAAGCACACATAGTCATTACATTGACATCATCTCAACACCGGATTATACAATCAAAAAGGCCAAAAACAAAACATGATAAATATCGTCGTCAATTTAATTTGTTGCAACTAGAACAAACTTTGCATCCAACAGCTATAATTTG